TTTATAGCATTCCTTGACAGGCATGTGGCCAAGCTAAGAGAACTCTCTGGGAAAGCCTGGGGTCAAGCCTGGCCTGTGAAACACCAAGCCTTTGGGAGCCAGGCCAAGCCAACCTCGTAGCTCCCCAGGTCACTCTCTAAGGCAGCCGATGGCAACTCCCCGTTTTACGGAAGACAGAACAAGCTGGAAAGGCTTGTGACTTGCCCAGGCACGCTGAGCCAGTGAACATCTGAACTGGAATGTAAGCTCAGCCCAGCATTATAATGACTCGGGTCTTTTGACTCTGAATTCACTTTGCCTTGCTCCACAGCATGTTGTTTTTCTCTATGTTACTTGCCCACAAACATATTGGCAGTGATTTCAGAACTGGGATTTGAACCCAGAGGCTTTTGCCCAAAGCTACCTGTCCATGTTGTCCTCTGATCTCTCCCTGCCCCTCTCACAAAAGGCAGATTCCATAGTTCTCCCACTTCTTGACCCTCTGTCCAGGACACAAGCCTTTCCTGCTGCTCTTTTTGCCTGCACTCTGGCATGAATGTCTTTCTGGGTATTGTCTGGCCATTCACCGGGTCTCTGCCTGCTTGGACTCTGGGCTTTGTGGGTGTACTTTGACTCACCTTCCTGCCATGCTCGGAAACCTTTCTTACCCTTCAAGGTTTGCTTCTGTACCTCATTCTGGACCCACAGCTGCTCATGCCCGGCTCTGTCCCAGAGCATCAGTATTTCATGATAGTTACTCATGATAGTGGGTGGGTATTCATGAACAAATTCCAGAAAGAGTAGAAGAAAACCAGATTGGGACCTTCCACAGCTGTGGCTTTGGGGCTGAATTCTTAACTAAACAACAGATAGAGGTAATTACAAAAGATAAATAGATAGTTTCAATTACATGAAATTGAAGAGTTTTTTTTTGCACGAACAAAATTAATGTAACAAAGAAGGGAAGTGACTGACTGGGGTAAAGTAAACCAATCCTTGTAGACTATAGTTCTGATCCAAGTCTGATATCTAAGATACACCAACAGCTTCCTAACAATTTCCCAACTAAGCAACCTGCACCCTGACCATCTTCCTCATCCTCCTTCCACTGGAACTCAATGTACTCTGATGGATGGGGATGATGGCTGATGGAAAAACAGCAAGGCCAACACAAGACTGGATTTAGGGCCAGAAGGAAGGTTAGAAGTCATCCGACTGAAAGCTTCATTATATAGCTGAAGCCATAAGGATTGTGTGATCTAAGGTCAATGCCTAGCTTCATACCCAGGTCCTCTCATTTCAAACCAAGCTCTCTTTCCACTCTACCACACTTCTGTCTTTGATGATGTACTGATTTTGATATATTGTATTTATAAATGAATGAATGAATGAATGAAAAAGGCATTCATGAAACATAATGTGTCAAGCATTGTTCTAAGAGTTGAAACGGCAAATCCAAAAGCAAAGACCATCAGTGCCTTACAGGGAACTTCCATTTTAATACAGGAGACAACAATACTAAAGAAGTGGTGGCCAGGGAAACTTGGGTCAAAAAGTTATAGGGATGGTCAGCCTAGAGGGGAGTTTTGACACATCCCATCCAGGAAAAATGGCAAATCTTTCATAAGGCTTGTCATTTGGGAACCAAAGAGGGTGAGGAAAGGACACGTTGGTGGCAAGAGAGTTGTTAAAGATTTGGCCAGAGAGGAGGCAGTGAAATGAAGCATGATTGAGACTTCCTGAAACAGTTTTGAAGAGTCTGTCACCAATCCAGATTGGGGGCCCCTCTGATGGAATTTCCTTCTGGGCCTGGTCTCTATTACTAGTAGAGGAGTGGATGAGCATGAGGCTGTGGAGGAGGGGACAGGGGTGGAAGGCATGTTGAATTGGAGGTGACAACAAGTAATGATAAATGCCTCGAAGGCTTCTTCTGTTTTCACCAGAACAATGTGAATTCTTGGAGAGTGATTGATCAGTCTTCAAGCCACTGAACACACACTGTCTGGAGCAGTAAAAGCCTGGCCTCCATCTTCAGTATGAAGGGAATCAATCAGTCCACAACCATTCCCCAAGGAAAACGCTAGTTCTCTCTGAGATCATTCTGTTTCTGTTTTGCCACTCCTCAACTAGTAAAACATAATAAGCCCTGGTAAGAGTAATTTTCCTGAAGAGAGTACTGGACTTATCTGGAAGACCTGAGCTCCAAATCCTGTCTTGGACTCTTGCTGGTTGTGTAACCTTGGACAAGCCATATGCCATCACTGAGCCTCATTTTCCTCATTTGTAACATGGGAATTCACTTATTCATTCAACACGCTTTATTAAGTGAAACTACATAGCAAGCACTGTGCTGAGCTTTAGGGTAAAATGAAGACCTTACATTGTCCTGAGAGAAGCAACATGTTCACAGTGAAGGGAATACAAGATATAGGCTAGGGGAAAACGAAGTGCTAGCCCCTGCTCTCTTATGGGGCTGTTGTAAGGTTTGCAGACGATTCGTGGAAAGCACTTTGCAAACACCAAATTGAGGTATAAATGTGGGAAATTACAATGAGTCTTGTTGTCGGCCTATTATTAGCATTGTGGCATAATCCACAGACAACCAGCCTCCCTCAGGGCCAGGAGACTTGGCTTCAAGCCTGGCCTCTGACAGACAATGCCACTTTGACCTCTCCAGTGCTAAGTAAAGTACCTGGTACAGAGAAGGCCTTTAAACAATGCTTATTAACTGACTGACTGACTCTGGGCCTTGAGAATGTCCCCAACAGCAATTAGAGGCAGAAAGGATGCAGATTTGCACTGACTATAAGAAGTTTCTCCACCAGAAATTTGCTGTGTCAATGAAATCACAGCCCCAGATCCCCATATATATGTCTATTTCTTTCTATTTGTATAGGTTTGTATTTACTCCATTTCCATTTATGTACATTTGTTTTCATAAATATATACACATAAATTTGCATGCCTGTGCATACAGAAATATATTTATCCATATGTCTATGGACCATATATTATGTGTATGCATACATATCTGTGTATTGGATATACATACAGACAGAGATATTTTTGTATTGTCATCATCACAATTGTCTTTGTCATCGTTTCTATGCTACCGTGTAGAGCTCTGACAGAATTCAGCACAAGCCTATACACCATTAAATAAACAAACAAATGAATAAATAAACACATTCGACTGAACAGCTCCTGAGATCTCTAGTCAGCCCAGCTTCAATTCTGCTCACACACATATCCTCAAGAAGCCATTGAAACCAGGCCAGATTATTTTATTTTCCTATGTGGGTGGGATTGAGTTTGGAGAGGGAGGCAGCAGAACAGGAAAGTGGGAAAAGAAGGAAATTCTAGTTCCTCTTTTCTAGCATCCAGTCACCATTCTTTTACTATTAGGCTGGAGATGGAAAAAAAAATGCAGAATTCTCATGATTTCTCTGGTGACTTTTTTTTTCTTTGGTGAGTGGGGGGGAGGGGAAATAATTCTAAAGGGGCACTGAATTGCAGGTAGATTTTTGATGGCTGCTTGCGATAATGATCTGGAAAGTGCCCTTCATAATGTAGCTTAGTGGGTTGAGGGGGAAGAGTGAGTTTGAATCCTGCCTCAGGCATTTACCAGTTGTGTGACCCAAGTCCCTTTACCTCTGTCTGCCTCAGTTTCCTCAATATGTAAAATGGGGATAATTATAACACCTATCTTCTAGGGCTGTGGTGAGGATTAAATGGATTCATTTTTGCAAAATGCTTTGTAAACCTTAGACAATTCTTTATCAAATTGAATTATTGTATATCAATGTTAAGTATTATTTGGGAGCCATCATCTGAAGGGGAGAAAGCCTTTCCAATCCCCCATATCAATATATGAAGCATCTGGCTGCTTTTCATTCCCCCTTCATCTTCTGGATGATTTTTAGTACCCTCTTTGTCACCTACCTTTTAAGAGATGAATAAAAGAATCCCGCTCTGGTCATGAATTGTACTATTCAGCAATCTGTTTGTGTGCCATCAGTTGTGATGGGGAACTTGGGTAGCCATAGAAACACAGGGTGGCTCAATCTGTTGTATTTTTATAAAATGAAAACTTTCTCCCTCTTATTACTTGCTAGGTCCCCTGTTTCCCTTCCAACTAGCAATGAAACTATGCTCCTCTATAGCCTAGAAACTCATAATCTGGTGGTTAAAGTGCCCAATGGAAGAGTTTTCACAGTGACTCAGCTCCAGGGCCAGGAAAGTACCACACAAAGGGGAAAAACCTGGCTCAGAGGTAATCATTGCAATGTTCCAGAAACTATGAATCTCACGGTTTGGATTGTACAAGGAGTTATGTATCACCTTCTTTCTCTTTGTTAAGGACAGTCTCTGAGAGTACATCGTACCTGTTACTGCACACACTAAATCCAAGGAACACAGATGACCCATAAAGAATAGAAGAGATATATTCACTTTGTCTGAAAAGTGAATCCCATTTTTCCTAGTGATATTCCTGTGAAACCAGAGAATTATTTCCACGGAGAAAATCTAAAAATGAATTCGAATAGTTAATTTATTCATTTGTTTCTTCATCAATTCATTCTTCCATCCATTCTTCAAGCAAGATTTCACTTGTACTTTCTCTTCTCTGCAAATCATTCTCTTCCCAGCTGTCAAAAGCACATTAGACCATGTTATTCCCATGCTCAAAAAAAAACTTCAGTTGCTCTCTATTCCCTTCAGGTAAAATGCAAGTTCTTTCTCAATGTGGCATTTGAAGTCTTTCACAGTGGGTCTCAAATCTATTTTTCTGGCCCTTTTGCACAGTACTCCTTTTCACATATTCTAACTTCCTTCTAATCTGGCCTGTTTACTGTTTCCTGAGCTCTGAGGCTATCACATCTAACCACAAAGTGCTTTGTAAACCTTTGCATTGGGTGTACTTTCTATTCTGGGAATCTATTTCCTCCCCACCTCTACCTCTTAGAAGAACCAGATTTCTTCCTTGGGCAGCTCAGACTCCATCTTTAATCAGAAGCCTTCCTGGATTAACTGACTGGTTAAGACTGTAGCTTTCCCACTCAAATGATTATGTATGCATTTATATTTTCACCTGTGGAATTCCACACGCCTCCCTGATGTAAATGCCTTGAAGGTAAGACTCGCTTTTTGCTTTGTGCTTGTTTCTGTAATTCTTATTTAGCATGCCTGGCACATAATAGGTGCTTAATAAATGTCTGTTGGTTTGGAGATTACCCCAGATTCATGAAAGTTGTGCCAGTATCAATCAGTCACTCAACAGACAAACATTTGCTGATTTCTAACTCTGTGCTAGGCCAATGGAGAATCAAAGAAAAAAAAATCCCTGCACTCACGGAGCTTACATTCAAAGTAGAACCCAAACTCCAAGTTGGAAAGGCTTGACTAATTCCTCGTCCATTTACTGACAATAGTTTTATCTGAAGACCAACTTAAGTAAGGACAAAAAAGCTCATCACTAGATTCTCCAAGGGATGGGGATTTTTCATTTTATTTCATTGTTTACCATAGAATATCTACTAAGGCATGATGGAATCATTCAGAAGTTCCCAAACTTATTTGGTCTACTGCTCCCTTTAAAAAAAATATGCAAGGGCAGCTAAGTGGCACAGTAGATACAGCACTGGCCCTAGATTCAGGAGGACCTCAGTTCAAATCTGGCCTCAGACACATTAAAAACAAACAAACAAACAACTCCACTTATTAGCTGTGCGACCCTGGCAACTCACTTAACCCCATTGCTCTCCCCCTCCAAAAAAATTACTCAGTGCCCCCTCCCGGAAATCTTACAGATTTGGCAAGAAGTCTCAGATTATGTGTACAATTACACCTGAGAATACTATTCTCCCCTGGATCATTCCAGTCCCCCCCTGGAGTGACATCACCCACTTTGGGAACCACCGAGTGAGAAGGGGCATAATGGAATAGTTGAGAGAGTACCCAATTTGAAATCAAGAAAATTTAAGTCCAAATGCTGCCTCAGATATTTACTAGCTGTGTGACCCTGGACAAGTAAGTCCCTTAACCTCCTCGGCCCATCTCTTCATCTGTAAAATGAGAGGTCTAGGCTTCTGAATCTATGATCCTATGCTCTTACAAATGGCAGATCCTTGGAAATGCTGAGTAAGTCTCTTTTGTGGCTCAGGCAGTGACAAGAATGAAAAAATAAATAAATAAAGCACAGTCCTGGACTTTAAGGAGCTTGAGTTGCAGATGGAGTGACTCTTTTGGAGAAGAACATTTTTGGAAACCTATATGTTTCTGTGGAAGGATGCTTCAAAGCAGCAGCCTACTGTTGTGCAAAAAGCACTGGACCTGTAGTCAGGAAAGAGCTGGGTTCACATCCTGTTTCAAACACTGACTAATTGTATTACTATGGATATGGAGCCGGGGGGTCTGTTCTTGAATTCCAGTTCTGTAACTTAACTACTTGTAAGACCTGGTCAAGTCACTTAATTTCCACAAGTTTCAATTTCCTCATCTGTAAAGTCAAGGGTTTTGCTAGAAGGTTACGGCCATTAAGATCTCTTTCATTTCTAGCCACATGTTTTTATTATCCTAAGTCAGCTGGCCTCTCCAAGCCTCAGTTTCTACTTATGAAAAATGGGAACAAGTACAATACCCATAAGGTTTGGTTTTGATACTCAGAGAAGATAATGGATGAATGAATAAAGCATTTATTAAGCACTTACTATATGCAAAACACTGCATTAAGGGCTGGGGATACAAATAGAAAAATAGGACAGTTCCTGTTCTCAAGGAAATACATTCCAATGGGAGAAATAATACCTATGGAAGTTTTAAGCTATAAATCAGATGTAAAGGTCATAGGGTCCTTTGCAGAATGAATTATAAACTGTGAAGTCCTGTATAAATCACAATTATTACTAATTAAGCTCTAGTTGAACTTTCTTTCAAGCTTGAAAATTCTTATATCAAATTTACTTTAAAATATCCACCCTTCTATTACATATATATATATATAATTTTAATATATAATCCACATAATCCATAACCTATATGTGTGTATACTTTATATATGTGTGTGTATATGTATATATGTATATGTGTACACACATATACAAATAATAATGTATAATATATAAACACTTGACTTCTTCATTAAAAAAGAAAAAAAAAACTAAACCCACAAAAAGATTTAGGTAGGAGAGGTAGATTCTACTAAGAATGCTTTGAGAGTTTGTGAAATGTAATTTTATACATATACTTCTATATGATACTTTAAGCTCTTTATTAACCTTCTAAGGAAATGTTTTACTCAAAATTCTGGGAGCTGATTACTAGGACAGGCAAACTCAAGAAAAGGCCTTATTTAGGTAACATTTGCTACCCTGCCCCCCACTGCTTAAAGGCCAGGTGTCACTCACTTCCGTTCCTTCCCTTTCACCTCCTCACCCCTCCGGGGTCTCTGGTGCTTTTACAAGGAGCTGGGGTATCTAGGCACTGCCACTAGCTCCAGCTGCCACATTTATAAGGGCATCCCCTGCATTCCAGTTCCACTTAGTCCCTAAAAGGTTAGCTTTCACAAAGGACTATTTTATTCAAAGTATAGTAATAATTCTACCAACATAGTCCCCAGTGTGGTCCATAACCCACCCCATCTTCGTACCATCACACTTTATGGGGAGGAAAGAGAAGTAGGGTCAAAGTTTAGTTCAGATTTATATAGCTTGGGGCCAGTTCCAAGGCCAACGGCCCTCTTGAGTTGGAGTGCCAGACATCCTGGCTTCTGGGTGCTTCTCTGACAGCTTGGCTGGCTGACAGATCTTCTGGAATCCTGGCTCTGAGGTGATTGTGGGTTGACTCTGATTGGGAAAGATTATCACCTGCATCTGCAATTGAGAAGGAGAAATGAAACAGAGGAGAGTTCTCAGGGGTAAAAGCAGGGGCAGGAAGACTCTCCTTTCCCAACAGTATGGTTCAGGGTGCCTAGGCTGAGAGTTGATTTCCACCCTCTCTGGGTTCCCAGTAGGGAAGAGAGGAGACTGGCAGTTTCAAAGACATCACACATTCTGGCCTTAGAGTCCATCCCAATCACATGTCTCTTCCCAGAAGAAGGTGCCTCCATGTTAGACAATCTGGGCATGCTTCAAAGCCTGATTTCATTGCTTTACCCCAGTTTACACTTTACATATTGGGAATGATGTGCTGTGCTTGGATTTTTATTTGACAATAATACATCTATTTGGAGGGAAAAAAGAGACCTGGGGCTGTACTCTGTCTCTGACAACTTGGTGCTATGTGGCCCAGTCAATGATCTTTGAGTTTTGGTTTCCTCAGCAACAAAATAGGAAAATCATACTTGTGGCACCTACTTCACTGGGCTGTCATGAGCCCCAAATTAGTCATAAAGAAGGGGGGGATTAATTGCTGATTGCTCTTCCCCTCCCACTCCAATTGAAAGCAATTCTCTGTTAAGCATGGGATTCTTCTGGACAAAGTCAGTCAGACAGAACTAGGGATGAAAAAAAGCCTGCTCTCAGGTGAGGGTCTTGGTCACTCTGAAGCACTTGTGTAAAAGCCAAGACCAGAGAGTGATTTGGAGTATCTTGGAGAGGAGAGAAAGGGCTGAGGACATAAAGGGCTTAACTGGAAACATCTGGCAGGCCAGAGACCACCCAAAAAATGGGGAAGAGAGCACAGGACCAAGCCCTAGCAGAGAAGGGAGATGCAAAGGAGTGACCTTGATTCAATAGGAATCATAGAGCTCCAGATCAGGCTGCCACCATGGGGGCTCCCTCACTGAAGACTAGAGAGATGTTCCAAGAAAAGCTCTGCTCTTTCTCCAGAATTCTATCCTGGGGCCTTTTATTAGCAAACATGACTCGTAAGATTTGGGCAAGACTTTATGTCCACAGGTTTAACTTTTCTCATCTCTAAAATGAGGGAGTTGGGTTAGGTGGCCTTTTCCAGTTCTAGACCTCTAGCATACACTGCTGTTTCTTCGCCCAGTCAGTATCTGTGGTAACTGATCTCTTCCCTTGACCGCAGAGAGATGGCCAAAGCTCTGCAGAAGTGTCGGCGCTTTTCTAAGTGGGGGCTTGGAGCAATTGTACCTGTGCGACTGGCTGCTCATCACCCTTCACGTTTCTATGGCAAGAGAGGAGACAGTCATGCCCACCTGTGGGACCATCATCCTGAGGCTTAAAACAAGCTAATTACAAAATTTTAACTTTTTTAATTTTAATTTATTTTGATTTATCAACAATCACTTTCATATGCTTTTGAGTTTAAAATTTTTCTCCTCCTTCCTCCCCACCACCCTCCCCAAGGTGGCACATGATCTGATATAGGCTATGCACATACATTTCTATTAAACATATTTTCACATTAGTGATGAAGTAAGAATTAGAACCAATAGGAGGAACCACCAGAAAGAGGAAACAAAACACATCAGAAGAGAAAAAAACAGCAAATTCGTCTGCTTCCATCTGCATTCAAATTCCATAGTTCTTTCTTTGGACATGGATAGTGTTTTCCATCACGAGGCCTTTGGAGATGTCTTAGATCCTTGTATTGCTGGGAATGGTTAAGTTTATCAATATTAGTCATCGCACAACATGACTGTTATTGTGTGCAATGTTTTCTTGGTTCTGCTCACTTCACTCAGCATCAGACCATACAAATCTTTCCAGGTTTTTCTGAAGTCAGCCAAAACAAACTAATTATTGCAATAGGCTGTGATACACAAGTTTTTCTTCACAAATTTTAAAACAATGCTTAAATATCAATTGTCATTTTTGGTATCTTATTTACCTCTTTTTCGATAGTCCTGGGAAAAGTAGCTGTCCTGCTTTATTCTTTCATATTTATTATTCTTTGGGCTATTGCTATTATCATTGTTAACATAACGTAAGAGTGCAGGGTCACAAGACTGGAGAAAGCCTCATTCTAGGTATGAAATCATCAACCCACCTCATTTTGTAGGTCAGGAAACTGAGTCCCAGAAAGACTACACGCCTTGCCAAAAGTGGCAGCTTTTCACATGGTTGAAGAGAGCCATCTCAGGAACTCTGAATCTTCTCTTTGCCAGCTTGGTACTAGGTACTGAGGACCTTTTTGAACTTCCAAACCTTTAAGCTCCACTACAGAGAGCACAACTCTGATGGGCTGTCCATGTTGTTCAAATGCCAAATGTGTGTTTGCCTAAAAAACTATTTTATGAAGAACTGACCTAAGGCAGGAGCTCCCACCAAGATCAGAAGTGGTATGAGGACATTATCAAGGTCTCTCTGAAGAACTTTGGAATTGATTATAAGACATGGGAGATGCTGGCAGAGAGCCCACCAGCATGGCATGCCCACATTAAAGAAGGTACTGTGCTCTGAGCAAAGCAGAATTGCAGTAGCACAAAAGAAATGCGAGATGTGCAAATTCAGAGGCAGCTCCCTCTCAAATGGATATATGGCTTATTTGTACCTGACCCGTGGTAGAGTCTTCTGAGCTCATACTGGTCTGATCAGTCACAGTCAGACACAATGTACATTGACCCTGACACCATGGTGTCATTTTGGTCCTCTTTGCGTACAAAGGACAACAACCATCAGCCAGTCATTCAGTCAATAAACATTTCTCCAGGCAGCCTGGTTTTACAGTGGATAGAGTGTTAGACTTGGAATCATGAAGACCTAAGTTCAAATCTGGCCTCACCACCTTACTAGCTATGTGACTTTCCACCAGTCAATGAACCTATATCTGCTTCAGTTTTCTCATCAGTAAAAGGAGAATAGGCATTCATATGGTGTCTACTATGGGCCAGGTGCCATGCTATGCACTTTACAAATATTATCTCATTTAATTCTTAAAACAATCTTGCTAGGTAAATGGCTGTTAGCCTCACTTTACAGATGAGCAAAATGTAAAAGGGGGATAATAATAGCCTCTATGTCCCAGAATCATGAGGACGAAAGAAAATCTTTGTAAAAGCATTTTGCCCACTTTAAATCACTCTATAAATGCGATCTAGTAAGTGTTAGATATTGCTCCTGTTCCTTCTATGGCATCTCATGTTGCATGGACTCCATCCTTCCTCAGTCTTAATTGCTCTCCTCTCAACATTCTCCAGCTTTTCATTCTGTTTTCCAAAAAAAAAAAAAAAGGCTCTTCAAATCAGCCACAATATTTCATGGTTGGTCCTAGCAGGGCAGAGAACAGTGGGATCTTCAGTCTCCTCTGCCCCCAAGTTATACCAAATCTTTTCTTGCAGCCCAAGATTGCATTGGCCTTCTGCCTGAAACCCCCCTAGCCCTGATCTTTCTCAGATAAAATGTTATCTGCCAATATGGTCTTTGATCTGGCAAATAGATTTTTTTTTAATCTCAAGTATAAAACTTTACATTCATTTTTATGGTAAGGTTTATTCTGTCAAGATCTTTTAGAATCCTGACTCAAGTCCTCTAGTGCTTTAACCCTTCCCCAAGTTGTGGGTCTTCATCCCAATAACTTCATCAGCTCTACATACTCTGGTAGACCTGTGATAGTGCCATGGTCGGTGTTTGCCCTCCAATGACACAGATGCAAACCATCCCTTCCTGCAGGCCCATACCCTCCCGCAAGTCTGCCACAGTGGGCCCAGTCTACATTTTGGGAGGTTTCCTTACTTTCTCACACTTCTAAGTAAGCTAGGGAAAAAACAGGCTGGCCACGGCAATCTCCTAGGCTTGGTCTGGGGCTCAAGTCAACTGAAGTCATGTGTGGGCCAGTACTTTGAGAACTGGAAAGCACCCCAAACTATAAAGCTTTCTTATTGCTTTCAGGGTTTGGTGAATGATAGGCCAAGTTAGGATGTTGGGAATTTCAATGGCTGCAATATTTCCTTCCTTGCAAATAAATCTATTTGACTAAATGCAGGCAAAGAGTAATTTGGAAGTGGCCATCTTCCAAATCTGGCATCCTGATAACAACTTGAGATGTATGATAGGAGAAGAGGCCTAGGAGAAAGTCATTTTACCTAAGGCCAAGCCAGCCTGGTGCATTTCCTAAAAGTGATAATCCTATTCAGCACTCAGCCTGTCATCCAAATGGTGGTGCGGAGTATTTGAAACCGATTTTATATCAAATTCAAGCACCTAGTGAGGAACACATAAATATGTATCCAAAGTCTGGGATGAAATAAATTCTTAGAGTGGCAGTAAATAGATATGACATACACATGAAGATAGATCATCTATATTTATTAGTAGTAATAATACCTATAATTTATATGGCATTTTAAAGTTTGCAAACCTCTTTATAACAAGCAATAAGTGTTTATTAAGCACTAACTGTGCATCAGGTACTCTACTAGGTTCCAGAGATACAAATACAGGAGTAAGACCGCTTCACCTTCAAAAGTCTTACGTCAGATGATGGGACACCACATATGTGTAGATGGGGAGAGATACACACCCATAGCTACATGGTGCGTATCTATACTGCATGTATATGTGTGTGTGTGTATGTATATATATATATATATATATATATATATATATATATATATATATATATATATATGTATATATATATGTATATATATGTGTATGTATATATATATATACACACATATATATGTATGTATGTATGTGTGTATATGTATGTATGCATGCATATATGCATGTGTGCATATGTATACACACATGTATGTTTGTATCTATACACATATACATGCATGCACACACATGAATCCTGGATGTATATAAAATAAATACCCGATGGTCTGGGAGTTCATTTGCACTTAGGGCAATCAGGACAGGCTTTATGTAAAAGGTTCATGTAAAGATGTGGTGAGCCTGGCCATCTTTCTACTCCTCATACAAGACCCTCTCACAATTTCTATGGCTTTTCCCATACCTGGAACTCTCTCCCTTCTCATCTCCAATTTTTGGCTTCCTTGTCTTCCTTCAAATGCCAGGTTGAATCCCCTTTTCTTCAAGAAGCCATTCCTGATCACACACAGCCTCCCTGATGGGATTCTCTCCACTTTCTCCTTTCTCTATCTTGTTTGTAAGTCATCATTTGTATGTTGCTTTTTCTCCTATTGGACTGTGAGGACCTTGAGAGTAGGGACTGACTCTTTAATTGTTTACCTCCAGTGCTGGGCAGAGTGCTTGGCATGTAGAGTGGCTTAATAGCTGCTTGTTGACTTAAAGGAAAATCAGGGATTCTAGGACGCAGAGTTGAGTGCATCCCAGGTATGGGGCACAGCCAAAGTAAAAGCATAGAGGTGTGCAAAAGTACCCAGGAAAACAATACGGCTGCCTTCTAGAAGGCACATAGTGGGAGTAATGAAAAAGAAGACTGGAAAGATAGGAATGTTGAGGACACTTTTAAATGTCAGAAAAAAAGTTTGCATTTAATCCTAGAAGTGATAGAGCATCATTTGATTTGATTAAGGAGGGGGTGTTGGAATGGTCAGCCCAGAGCTGTATGAAAACTTCCTCGGTAGCTTTGTGGAGAATGGACAGTATGTGTGGTGAGAGGAATACCTGAGCAATTAATGGACTATTGCAGTGGTCTATAAATGAGATGATGAAGGCATGAACTTGGAGTGTATATACCTGAGAAATCTGGAGGTAAAAGCAGCCATCCTATGATGTAAGTGTAATTATTATTCCCATTTCATGTATGAACCAATGACCATTAGAGGGCTTAATGATGGCCCAGGGTTACAGAGTAAGGTAATTCATTCCTCAGTAATTGAACCCAGGCTCTTCTGACTCTGTGTCTCCATACTTTAGCCACTAAAAAGAACAGCTGATGTTTGTAAAATGCTTCATGATTTGTAAACCACTTCATAATCATTTCACTTTAGACCCACTCAATGACCTCAGGTGGGGAGGGGCCGTTATTTTTCCCTGTCCTACAAGTAAGAAAACTAATTCTCAGAAAGATACAGTGGTTTCACCTGGGCCACCCAGGCAGTTTGGGTGAGGTGAAATTTGAACCCTGGTCTTTTTTACTCCAAGTTCAGTACTTTAGCTCCATTCCTTGCTGGGTTTTGGACTGAATAAAATGATCAGGGATTGGCAATTTGGAAAGACTTTAACACCATCATGACAATGTGACTTCCTTTAACCAAGATGGCAGCAAATCCTCTCCTGGAAAAATGGGAGGCTTGAACTCAGAAAACAAGAATTGTATGTGTGTGTGTGTGTGTGTGTGTGTGTGTGTGTGTGTGTGTGTGTGAGAGAGAGAG